CCTCACTCTATTTCCATGTGTATATTATCAATTTCATTCAATTTCTATCTTCCCAGTTTAGCAGTGGTGTTTTCTCAAATGGCCATTAGATATCATTAGATTAGATCTCAAAAAAAAAAAGATGTTGAAGTGTCCATCAAATGATGAACCAGGATGAACAAGGATGAACAAGGTCCCATATTTACCGATTTCCCAACAAACTCAACGGATTCCCCATGTCAAGGTCGGATGACCACGAAGCCGGCGTAGCCCGGAGAGACTCCTTGACCTTGACTCTGGGAGCTCAAGGTGAAACAAGCTGCTGAAACCCAACAAAACCGTCAAAAATGGGGAAAGAACCAACAAAATCCAACAAACAAGTTGCGATTTGACTGATTCAACATGATTCAACCATCACAAAGTTGGATTGGACTCAGAAGAATTGGGGATTTGGGGTGTCTTCGCCTGACAAAAGGGGCATTCATCCTATTTATACGCACTCGTTTTGGCCAAAGTCACTTGGCTGCTCCGTGACCCTACCTAGAAACCATCAAAACAGATATTTTCAATGAGGGCAATGGGAAAATGTACAAGAAAACCATATATTTCGGGGTAGAAAAGGATACAAGGTGTCATAATCTCGAGGTGGTTGATTAAGACTTACCCACCCTGCTTTCATCTGAGCAGATTTTGTTTTTTTTGGTACGTACTCACGCTTGCAGGAATGGCATATGAACAACATCTGATTCACTGCTGTGCTCAATATCTTCAAAATCACCGTTTACAAACTTAGATGCACCATTTTCCCAACTACATTGAGGATAAAAACAGCAGTGCATAGAAACCTCTAAACTTGCAGCATGCCGATAGCTCCAACAAAAACTGGATAGGCGATGGCAGAAGATAAGATCCACAGACTGCATGTTTGGTCATGATTCCCACAGCCAACCATATTAATCATATGGGTGTTTCCCAAAGTGAGGGATCCCCAAGTCCCCATGGCTTCAATACCAAAATATCTTATTCAATGTGGATGATTTGGGGTATCCCCATGACTTAGGAAACCATCGCATCTGAAACCCCTGGCAACCATCACTTCCTGATTTGCTCCAAGGGGCCGGCCGAAACGGAGCCCTGGGAGCCCTGGTCCTGCAGGGGGCCGGTTTGAAGAATGAAAGATCTGTGCAGGGGGCATAAGGGATTCCCTCATTACGACAATAGGAATATGTCAAAAGTAAGGTATGATGATGTATGATTTACCTCGAAAAATGGCTGGATGGCCCTCTGAAAATTGCCCTTTCATACCTTTTCATACCTTTTCATACCTTTTCCATCGGTTTTCCTTCAAAAACCAATCCCATCCCACGTCACATTAAAGAATTACCTCATCGCTGGGCTCCAAAACGAACAGATGCAAGACTAAACCAGTGTTTTGTGTAAGGGCATAGTTCAATTTATCTGAAAATCGGCTGCCCCAAACTTTGATAAACTAAAAATCATTCGCTTAATCATCCTTTTCTGATTGAAATTGCCATTTGGGTGGGACAAAAACCCGTTCTCAGACACACCCATTTGACCCATCGCAGGCAGGGCCAAGTCACGGCTGCCAGAGGTGACGATGGAGCATCATCTTCCAGCTTCGTGCTGCGCTGGCGATGGATGAACCTCGAATCTAACTCTCGGGTAATGTGAAGGTCACCAATTTTTAGATAATTTCATGATAAAAATCTTGGAAACCATGGTATTTATATGTTTGCCATCCCAAAATTGGAAGTGTTTTTTTCCCGGATACATCTGAAAAATCATGGTGTTTACATGCATTCGTTGAATTTGCCATATTTCAGTCGCAAAATCTACTGTTCATACTATCTCCCCATTTTTTCAGTCTTCTCCAGCCACTTGCGGGTGATCCCAGTTAGTGGGTGGTAACCATATTATATCCCAGTTCTATGTGGAATATGGGCTATAAACCGCGTCTACCTCCAAATGGCCATTTAAATAAAGAAAAGATGATAACCCAATAACCCACCCAATTTTGGGGGTTCCCAAAAAAACACATATAAGCTTAAGCTCCCTAGCCCGCTCAGTAAACCATTTAGACCCTTAAGGCCTTAAGGCCACTTAGGATTGCATACTATACCCCAGTTATTGTATGTGGAAGTCATTATCCCAAGTTATATATATATATATACATATATGGGCTATAAATTCTTATACCCTCCGGTAGTCAAACATGGCAATGGAAAATCCACATTTACTTCGATGATTTTCCAAGTTATAAATCTCCATTCAGTTCGGAGATTTCCCAGCTATCCACGTTTGATGACACCGGAGCGTAACCCTAATTATTGGCTATATATCCTATTATATACCCAATAGATCACCATTCACCATTCATGGTTAAGTTGTATCCCAGTAAGTATAAACATGGTTGATTACCAGATATAATACCTATTATATTACCAAATATATTGTTGATTAGGTCCTAGCTATGTATTATATATATATATATTATAATTTATAATATACTATTATATATATATATATGTTCTATCAGTTCCCATGAACTCTAAATCTTTTGCCACTGATTCCTGGGATGTCCCGAGACGGTCCCAGGCACATAAGCCCCAGCGCAGAAACGACACACAGCACCGCAGCCAGACCGAAGGCCATGGCGAAACTCTGCGGCGCGCCGCCAGCGTTCCTTCGCCGGCACCATAGGGAGATCGGTTTAGGATGAAAGCCATGGAAAAATGTGGATGGAACCACTGATAAATGGTGACTTACCCATGAAAAATCTGGAGTTTACCAGGTTACCAAGAAAAAATGAGATTTAATCACTGTTCGGATTGTCCAAGTTGACTACCTTTCATATACATCTTAGACGTCGCAATACGTCGAAAGCTAATTCTCGCCTCTCGTGCCTGTAGATGCCTGAAAGGCTTAAGAAAAGGATAATTTTAAAAAGTCCTTCCTTTGAGTTGTATAAGGCCATTTTAAGATTTTCCCCCATAATCCCAAGCGGCTTAAGCGCCATTTTTCATGACCTATCTAAAATACCCTGCATGAGAAGCGTCAGTGCTATCGAGATGTCCTTGGGGTGATGCGATGCTAATTTCAATCGCATGCGCCCGTTATTGATAGTCTTGACACTGTTCCTTGGTTTTTGCAGTCGCATATACTTCGCAGTAGAGGAATCCATCGAAGCTTGATCCCCATCCCATAGGTTTGATGGGTCAAAAACCGTTCAAAACCCATTCGAAACCAATAAAATGTAATTGTAAGCCCAACAATAAACGGTCCCCATTGGACAAGAAATGGGTGGTAACACCATGCTCCAACTGGAGGTTGATTATTTGGCTTACCAGATTGTAATCTGGGATTTCCACCAATTTACCCTCCAGTAATCAGCTCCATGGCTGGCTGGAAAATCACCCATTTACTTAGATGTTTTTCCCATTTAAATGCCAAGTTATAGTGGGTTTCCCAGCCAGCCATGTTTGTGTATCCCCATTGTTGGTTATATCCTATGATATGCCTTAAAGATATCCGTGTTTCTGTTGGCTAAATCACCACTAAATCCCCGATTGTTTGTTGGTCAAACCACCCAAAGTCTTATTGTTGGCTCTAAAATCCCATGATATCCCAATTATATCATATTTATGTACATATATATATATATGTATATATATATATGTATATATATATATGTATATATATATATGTGTATATATATATACATATATATATATATACATATATATATATATCTTTATATATGTATATACTTAAAAATGTATATATTTATATATGTATATATTTATATATGTATATATTTACATGTGTATATCTTTATATATGTATATATTTATATATTGTATATATTTATATATTGTATATATTTAGATAATGTATGTATGTTTATATGTATATATATATATACTGTATATAATATCATCATTTTTCCAAGTAAAATCACCAACAAATCGATTTTCCATGGACTTTCCGCTCGTACCAAGGCTCTGCAGCATGCCCAGCACCCCCGCAATGGAGCCACTCAAGCCTTCCCCGATCGCCAGGGCAGTGGTGTAGCGCCTATGGCTGAGATTTTCCATGAGCAAAAAGCTGAAAAGCACCTGGGCACTGTCAACAAATCATGGAAACTGACCAAAAAAACCTGCAGATGCCCCAAAAATCCCCAAAACAACTTCACAAAATCCAAAGAACCTCTTAGTGCAGTAAATTTTAGTATTTCTGGCTAGGAAGTCCACCACCTGTGCATGATGTGTCACTCTACCAATTCTGGAGTGGATGGAACCCTCTGGCAATCAAACATTGCCAAGGGTGCAATGTTTTCTGCAGACATGCGGATGATTTACCTGTAAAGATATGGCTAATTCCTTGGATTCTTCCATTCTGCCTATCAACTTACCTTGGACCATTCCCACTGCCCTGCCGCCTTGGGAAATGGGCTGCCAAAGGATAGAAAACCAAAGAACTGCCGCAACTCGCGACACCTCAACCGAGGGGTGACCATGCTCCCGACCATGGTTGGTCACATATGGTACATCTATACCTTTATACCTTTAGTATTCACCAGCACATCTGGAAGGAAAGCCTGGTTCTTGACAACTATCTCAATCGGGCCGATACCAGCTGGGCCGATGGTCACTTTTTGCAAGGCCCCTCAGGATCTGGAGGTGATCGTTTTAGTGTTCAATTCTCGTTTTTCAGGGTACCCCAACTTTAGCCCTAAATCCAGCCGAACAATAATGGAGTTTCATTCCACCAAAAAAATCTGCTGATCGCAAAAGTCAGCTCGGCGTGTTTCTTCTTGGTTGTGCCAAAAAAAACAAAACATCCTACTCTCCAATTTTCGTCATCGGTTCCTTTCTGATCATCAGGAACACAGAAAGTGTTCCTAAAAGTTGTCTGTCTAACCATCAAACGTCAAAAAAATTGGCAAACACGCATGAGTTTGGACATTTCCATGTTTGGAAGCAACACTGACCGCTGCTTCATCCAGCTGCATCACCAAGCGAGCAACTCTGCACCCCACATCATCCATTACCCCAATACTCAATCCAGTTTGTCTGACCCTATATTAATGTCGCATTTAGAGCCCCAACTTTGCTGAATCTTCGCAATGTTTCGACCCCACGCTGTTCGTGCTTTTCACCATCAACTATGGCCTACTCTGTAGGCCTAGTCTCTATTTTTGGGAAGTAGTAGAATCCCCAAGTGCAGTTTTTGTTAACATCCCCCAAGGTTTCATGGTTAAACGCTTGAGCCCCTATCATTTTACAAGAGAACACCGGCACCAGGGGTGCTGCTCAACTTCTGCCTGCCACGAAGGTCATGGCCAAAAGTCCCGCGGAACGTTCAGCGCCTTGCGGAGCGGAATCTTGGCAGGACTGGGGTCATGTGGGAAATTGTGCTGATGACATCTGATGACATCTGATGACTATGGTATCATTATGGGCTTACTATGGATAACTATAGTTGTCACCATCTCCAGTCGGGCCAGTTGGGTTGCTTTTATGATGACCCAGGTGAAATAACCACTAGAAGTTGGGCATATGACCTGACTATGGCCAAAGTCTCCACTTATTTCAGTGTAACTGCAATTCCAAGTAGGATTCCAACCACGGTTTTCTACAAAGTTCAACATCTTTGTGGATCAAAACACTATATGTTTCTATATGATTTCTATTGGTTCAATCTTGAGTCAACTGCTGACTCCAGGTGGGGACCTGTAGAATCCCAGTAGTCAGATCTAGACTCTAGATGTGCCATCATCCATCGCTTGGTTTCAAACGATCAGCATTTCCTCTCAATTAATGTGGTTTTCAGGCAAAAAGATGTTTCTCGGTATAGATTATAATATTCGCCAACTGGTAAAAGTTGGCAAATATGTAGATTAGCTATGGTTTGTTCTGAGGGTTCTCACATTCATAAACAACCAGCAAAAACCGACATTCATGCATCAACTCTCACTGGATTTGCATAAGGGGCCCAGGGAAAAGTAGCAACGATCCTCCCAATGGGCTCCACAAATAGTGGATTGACCAATGGAATAATCAAAGAAGTAATCTTCAGCAAACCCCTCATATAACTGGAACTATGATTCCCATATATACCAATGTTTAAATGGCAAAATAAACAATAAACGCTTAGCGGCAATCCTCATGCAAACAAGTTATACGGATAACGATTTCTTTCCAATGAAAGTTCAAATGGATACAAACAGTTGTATATCCAGTTTTTTTAAATATACTGTGTATATATATATATATTGTACCCATATGACCAATTGTTTATTTATATATCATCTGGCAATTTAGCATAGCTATGGAAGCCACGGACCATTTCGTGAACGATGATTTTCCAGGTTTCCAGGCCGAAAAGCCATGCGGTGCTTCGGTAGACGCCGGCGGCCAACGCGACACAGGCACCTGGAAACGTTGCGACGACCCGTGACCCTCCGGTGGGACACAGAGGAGGAGTTTTGGGGTGCAAAACATGGGGATTTGAGGAGGAACCAATTGGAGAAGAATACAGGATATCATAGGAATAGGAATAGGATGATAAATCCTTAAAAATATTTGGATTTGGTTGGAATTTCTAACTACTGAACTGAACAATATGATATGATGGGTTCTAGGTATTTGAGACAATATAAGCAGCAAAAAACATTGGATGAAACATAATTAAAACAATATATATATATATCATCAGGATTGTTGGGGTTGTCCAAGAATGAGGATGCTCAGTTGATATGATCAACGAAAAGAGGGCTCTATGTAAGTGTTCAAATTTTGTCCAAACAGGTGGATGCCCCAACAAATTTGCAATGTTCTACGGGGAAAAATGATGTTTGAAACGATGGGATGGAATGAGATATCTAGTTTTCGAACTATTTCATCAATTTCCAATGTGTCCGATACTACTTGTCCGGAGAAATGGAAAAATGCCTGATTTGCCCAGCTAGAACCTCCATTTATGGGGAGTATCCAATCGCCATGTTTGATTACCGGAGGGTAGTCCACACAAATCAACTTGATATACCATATTAAAGGTTCGGGTATTGGTTATATATAAAATAGATCCATTATATACCATATATATATAATTTAATGGAAAAAAACCATTGATTAATTGAAACCATCGATTAAACCATTATGTATATATAAACCATTAATATATTAAATGTTCCATGAATCATTATATAAACCATTCATTACTGGAAAATGGCCCCTCCTTTCACCCCCCACCGAAGCCCAACAGCAGCAGCATGCTGCTCAGCAGAGCCCAAGCTGGCGCAGGGCGCTTCACCAAGGGTCGCCTTGGGCCAGCTGATGTTGCGGGAAATCATGGGATAACCCCGCACAATTTATTCTCATATAATCCCAGAACTATTAGGTAACTATGGGAATCGAATGTGGGAAATTCATGTGTAATTAATGTTATTAGATGTTATTAATGTGGGAAATGTTATAACATGTTATAACCACACATTATTTATGTTATTTTAAAAAAACATCCCATAATTATGGAAATATGATCCACAACTGGGATTCTCATTGGATTTTTCGGATAGCAAAACCATCTCCATCTGGGGTAAAACATGGTAAAACCCTGTTGAAATCACCACAAGTTGGGAGATAACCCCCTTTGCTGTCACAAGTTATAGCTACAACGCCGCTTAAGTGGAACTGCACCCCCATCTAGTTCACATCCCCAAATTTTGTTGCCGAACTATACCAGAATGGTCGATTTGTTGGATTTGGGATGATTTGGGCATGTTCACCCGTTTTGCTTGCTTTTTGATGTTTTTTGTAGTCTTCAAATCACGCCCAGTTGGTGGTTTCGATTCAGAAAATGGATGGAATTCATAACATTGGATATCATGATGTCCTGGGGATATTCATCAACAGGAAGCGATGGTGTCAAGCATTCTTGGTGGATTCAATTCCTCTCAAAATACTGGTCATTGGGCATGATGCTCCCTTTTTCGGGGCTGAAAACAAAAGAAGTTGGAACCCGTAACCAAACTGGATATAGAAACTAGGAACACATTTTGGTTTTGACCAACATCAATGGCAGAATGATGCCAGTACAGTATAGTCGGTCCCATCAGAGATGTAGTGAGTGACCCTGGTTCTTGCCTAGCAAGAAGTGGCCGCCCAAATGGGGAACTCACTCAATGGGGCTACGGGCTACTCTACCTTTGCTGAATCTTTCTCCAAGCCAAACCACGGGTGACAGTGTCCATGAATAAGCGCCTATAGACAATGGCCAGTGGCCACAGACATGAGTATCCCAAAACATGAATGCAAATGTCGAAGAGCAAGTGACTAAACATCATCAAACCGGGGCTCTATGTTGCTTCTTGAGCTTCCCCTGTGATCTTCGAAGTTGCACGGTGAATCAAATGAATAATAATTCTCCAACAGCAGAACATGTGCTGAATGAGCTGCTTCCTCTAGCCCTCAAAGCCCAAAGTCAGTGGGTTCCTCTGTTCCCGAGAACTTCGGATGACTGAAAGGGCCCCATGGGGCCCCATCCCGTTCAAATGCTCCAAGTAGCAAGACCAGCATTACGCAGAAGTTGGCCAACTGTAGAGCCACCACGATCCTGCCGCGGTTTCTAAGGCGTTTCGGGGCCTTGGCCACCCAAGACCTGCACATCATGTTTCAACTCCTTAACTTCCAAGAAAACCAGATACCCAGATGATCCAAATGGATAGTTCACCCAATGAATATCATAAAAACTCTGGATTCATAGCAAAACCCCATTCAAAATCATAGTTGCTTCACAACAAACAGACTCTCCAACCCCAACCCAAAAAGGACATGGATTTCCCAATCGCCACCGATCCCCAACACTCCAGGTGGTCAAGGCCCAATGCTCGGGCAGGTGATACACCAAGAAGGAGGACTGCACGAAGATCTCGGTCCGCTGGTCATGGAAAATCCAGATGTTTTAATATATATCCCGATATGTTTGATGGTGAAATACCAATTAAAACCTGTTAACCATAATAATAAGCAACTAAGCAACCAACACGTACCAGCTATAGCCACTCATAGCCCATGTTGTGATGGTTAAAACCTCTAATGTGGTAAACCCAATGATAAACCATTCCCAACTGTACCATAAATGGGTATTATTCATCTAAACTATCTACAATCATCCTGATGTAGATAGAATATGATATGTTCAATGAGATTCCGATTTTTGTGGGGATGTTTGAAATGTCTATCTCTTATCTACTCCAGAGTGACTATATGTATGTTTGTTTGTTTGATTGGTTGTTTGTTTGTTTGATTGTTTGTTTGTTTGATTGATTGCTTGATTTTTTGTTTGTTTGCTTGCTTGCTTGTTTGTTTGTATGTTTGCTTGCTTGTTTGTCGTATATGTGTATGTATATGTGTATGTATATGTGTATGTATATGTGTATGTATATTTGTATGGTTGTATGGTTGTATGTATGTATGTATGTATGTTTGTATGTCTGTATGTATGTCTGTATGTATGTATGTCTGTATGTATGTATGTATGTATGTATGTATGTATGTATGTATGTATGTATGTATGTATGTATGTATGTATGTATGTATGTATGTTTGTTTGTTTGTATGTATGTATGTATGTTTGTATGTTTGTATGTTTGTATGTTTGTATGTATGTATGTTTGTGTGTGTATGTTTGTATGTTTGTATGTTTGTATGTTTGTATGTTTGTATGTTTGTATGTTTGTATGTTTGTATGTCTGTATGACTGTATGTGTGTATGTTTGTATGTTTGTATGTTTGTATGTTTGTATGTTTGTATGTTTGTATGTTTGTATGTTTGTATGTTTGTATGTTTGTATGTATGTATGTATGTTTGTATGTTTGTATGTTTGTATGTTTGTATGTTTGTATGTATGTATGTATGTATGTATGTATGTATGTATGTTTGTATGTTTGTATGTTTGTATGTTTGTATGTTGTATGTTTGTATGCATGCCTGTATGCGTGTATGCATGTATGCATGTATGCATCCTGGCAAGGCAAAATCACCATGTTTGTTTTCAAAGGAAGATCGCGTCTGTGAATATCCGTGGAGAGGCTTGTGGCGATTTTCCATTGCCGCACACCCGTGTGCTGAATGGGATATCTCCACGCAACTCTGCCGGGGAGATGCCATGCAATGGTGTCTAAGTGAGTACAAATATGATACCCTCTGGTACTTTCACAGTTTGCTATGGACAATCACCATGCGAACGGCAACTCATCACGGAAGAAATACGGCACTTCCCTTGACAAATCGACCTGGGGTTCCATTTGTTTTGCCGGGTAGACATGGAAACCGGTGTCGGAAAATGATCTGATCGCCACTGGGCAGGTCCCACGCTATTGATGGAGATCCAGCTGCCGAGGCCAAAGGTGATGAAGGCGGCCTCAGGGGAACCAGTTTTTTTTCCAATGGAATTGTCCAAAAAAAAAAACGTAGGAAAGGCAGGAGCATATGATGGTTGAACCATCAACAGTGCATGTGTAAACCTTGTAAGCCTTAGACTGAGCATCTCTTGTTGTTTCAAAAAAATGTGACAAGAACTGAGGAAAACGAAATCCACAGGAATTTCACCATCAACCCAGGGGGTTCTGACGCCCTGAGGATGCACAATATTGGTTGGTCATGTGTTTCAACTTTTCTTTTTGGGTATGTCACGTCAGTTAAAGTAATGATGAACCACTCATATTTTGATGCTTTGTACCACCCATAAAAATTGTAAAATTGGGGTGGCTTCCCCAATTTTGATCCATACCAATACCTCCATTCGTAGACACAAAATGGTGCAAACATTTGTTTAGTGGAAGTAAAATTGCAGAGACACGGTTGCAAAATCCATCTTGTTTGACGGTCAATGTTCGGATTACGAAACTCAGCAGTATAGCGGTTTCAAGTAGGATGTTTTTGCCGTTACCCCAATGGACAATCCATGAATTTCTCACGGGAAAAAATGACTTTTCCATTGCCACCTTTGATTGGCAGAGGGTAATGGTTAATAGTCGACATGGCGATCAAAACCCTACGCTGGTCTTCACAGAAAATAAAAAAAAAGCTGGTTGTGGATGGTCAAGTCCTGGATTGATGTTTGCAACTATGAGGGTACAAGTCCAGAGTCAACTTAGTCAACGCAGTCATTTCTGGAACGTGAACAAACAGACGAATCAGTCCTAGCGGTCAATTAAGAGCGTTACCTAAAAAAATAGTTATTGCCTCTACTGCCTGTCAAAGGGATCATATTCCCAAACAGGCACCGAAAGAACATTGGTCACTAAGTGATATTGTCATATATCGTGAGTTGGGAATCTCCCCATATTTGCCGTTGAATAGTTCCTTTGCTTGTTGCTTACAGTATATCCTGATGTTTCCCAATATTCTTGACTATATCCCCATAGCGCTCCATCATTCTTACTTCATGTTACTTGTATCCCCAATCTTCATGGGTAACACGCCTAGCACCCCCAGTTCTATGGCTTCTACTTGGAGTTTCATCCCACTTAGTCAGTGGTTGAGAACCCTCATGTAACAAGTCTCCTAGTGAGGGTTATATATATATCCCATTCACAAGCGAGCCAGCACTATCCGCATCCCATGCCATTATTTTAAAAAAACTGGTTGGTAAATAGGTGTTGCCTGTTATTGGATGTTTACAATCTCCAATAAACATCAACAGTCAACATGATAAACTGCTTAGTATAACCCCTTTTTTTGTTTACCCCCTTTTTGTTTACCAATCAACAGAAGTATATGTCCACCGGCTTGGAGTTACCAGACCCCAGGGTCGCCGACATAAGTTGCCCTGGTGCTCGCCGCTCGCCGCGGCTGCGGGGCACTGTCCATGCACAGGGCCGCCGACATCGAAGGGGGCAAAGTTGCTGGAGACTTGCAGTTGTTTGGAGCTGTCAATATATTTCCACGGGAAAATCATCGGGGATTTTCCCCTATGTTTAATGATGGGAGGGTAACATGTTGAGATCATGAGCCTACAAACATCGCATGGGTCATGGTCATTGTCAAGTGTCAAATCTATCCATTCCCCTTGGACCCGTTGGACCCACGGATTGGCTTTGTTGAAGCTTGCGGAGGTTAACCACGAATGAGCCACACGTTGTTGAAGCAAAGGGGTACGCACCCGGTTTTCATAGCAGGGTAGTTCCGGGCTGTGTGGAGTTCACAAATGCCATGTGCAAAACATGGGGAGATTACCTAAGTGAAAACGCAGAAGGCTGCGACACTGCCATTGCCATGTCGGCTTTCATGTTGCTTTTTGGACGATGTCATGACGTGGATTGACATTTACTTTCATTATTTACAGCAATATCTAACTTCGAGCTGCGATTTGGTGGCCATTTTTGGACTTGTGCAGCTGGAGGATGGGAGTTGGTTCATGTTGGTTCAATTGGCTCCACCGATCTTGATCAATTGGGGTTGCATTTCTTGATGTGTGCATGAAAATAAAAATCCTGAAAACAACACCCTAAACCCAACAATAAAGAAAGAGTTTAGATGGGTATGGTAAACCTATGTAAACCTCAACTTATGAGTCAATTCGTAATGACTGCTCAATGCCTCATTGGGTCACCTTTCCACAGGGCAAAAATGGAATGAAAAATGGAGTGAAAACTTGCACTGAATTCGCCAACTCTTACCATTTCTTACCTATAGGCACGATCGAGGTTGCCCAATCTTGCACCATGGCATGGCCATGTGGAAATCCTGGTGGTTTTGGCTGGAAATTCTGGTTGGGAATGGGAGTTTAACACCGGTCAACCATTGTGTCGATAGAGCAACCCCCAAAAAAAACCACTAAAATACATGTTATATATACTATCTATATATATATAATTATTATTAGTATTATTGTTGTTATTATTATTATTGTTGTTATTATTATTACTATTGTTATTATTATTATTGTTATTATTGTTATTATTATTATTACTATTATTATTATCATTATCATTATCATTATCATTATTATTATTATTATATACTATATATATATATACAGTATATACTTTTCTGTCCTTTGGGGGGTTAATTTGCATGATGTCATTTTCCGTGATTGACCCTGGATCAAGAGGTTATTGTTCATGGCTCAGACAGATGAACTCCTCTGGTACTCTAAAATAGCCATGGAAAATCACCTGTTTAGTTAAATCATCTACAAATGGGTAACTTGCCCATGTCTGTATTTGGGTTTGTCTGAAATAGGATAACCCCCAAAATCCCAGGGTTAATATTGCGTCCCTGTTAACATTGTGATTTGGAGGGTATAGCACATTTTCAGACAAGCCCGTTTATGACCAGAGGGTAGCACCTCTGTTTGGTGTCGTTATCTCGGCAGTGGCGCCCTTTCTCTCAAACTGCGCTGGTTCTTCGATGTCTGGCTCTGCTCAGTCCTGGGGGAGCAGTGCCATGGAACGAAGTGACTGGGATTGTCCCTCAGGAATTTCCCGTCCCACATGTCCTGGATAACACCGTGGGAGCTGACGTAGATACCATCCAAGAACTTTCGGATATCCTTCTTCTTGCACAAGCATGACCTCGTGGTGCCATATCAGTGATGAGTGACTACACATTCTGAAAGATGGGAGCACCTGGCAGGATATCCTTGAGGAGTTTCATAATCTTTGGGATATCTCTGGAGAAGAACTTCTGCCAACTACTGACGTCAGCTTCATGTGACACTGGAGATAGACACTGCTTTCAGCGAAGCCATGATTGTTATTCCGTTTTCCATTCCAAACTCATCCTTTCATATCCTTTCCAGGTTTTCTTCCATCAACATCCCTGATGTGGTGAACCCACTATTTTATTAAACCTACCCTTTGGGGGTACTTTCTTACCACTCTTTTTTTTGCATCAGGGATTCAGGAAATCGTTGGCTTTACCACACTGTTATTGAATTGGATTTACCACATTGCCAACGAACTGAGGACACCTGATGTCCAAAACCTGATGTCAGGTCTAAAAAATTAGATCCCAAAGATGTCACCGGATGTCCGAAAAAACCTGATGACTGAATGTCCAAAACCGATGTTTTTTTCTGGATCATAGAAATCAGCCCACAAACGGAGGTGTCTTAAAATAGGATACCCCAAAATCATCAACAGTTAGACCATGAATTCCGTTTCACGTGTTTCACCGTTTCACCCATGGTGACGACTGGGGATCCCCCAGTTTAGGACACCAGTTTTCATCGGTCAAGAAGCTGGTGAATCAAGGCGGCAGATCGCCCCGCCAGCTCGATGTCGGCGCTGGTCACCACAATCTCGTCCTGGTTTCACCGCTTTCACCCAGAAAAATGGGGATTTCACCCGGAAAAAAACTGGATTTAAGGGGAAAACAAGGGATTTGCCTAGGAAAATTGGCGAGACCCCCTCTGGTCATTGCACATAGCTAGTATGGAGAATCACCATGATTTGATGGGGAAATCATCGGGAAATCATTCATCGACTTGAATGGGCCATGAAGCCAGGGCTATTATCATTCGAGTGAGGTCGCGACGTGAGGTGATGAAATTCATCCAGATGAATTCCAGTTGATATCCCATCCCATTTTACCACCGTTTGTTTCCGGCCTTTAAAACCGTCTTATCATTCACATACCTCAGATATCCTCAGATGAAGCTGGCATTGAACGGCAGTTTCTATGGAATCACCCCCCAACCTTGGTGGAGCTGCTCTTGTCCACCGTGGCACCGGGCAACATGTGCACCTCAGCTCGGCGAGGCGGTAGCGCTTCTTGCCGGCAAAACACTGATTTCACGGAGAAAAGCCATGAAATTCGTGGGATTTCGTGGAGAAAAGAGATGGAAAGATATGGAAAAATCGTGTAAACTTGTGGAGTTCAGCAACTCAAAATGGGGAAATTAAGCGAAAACAAAGGACTTCGGTATGATCATCAGCCTGCAGCTTCCCAGGCACTGCAGCTAAGACACAGTTCGCACCACCTTCTCACCCAAGAAGTTACGAATCTCAATCGTCTGGCGCGAGGCCATGCTGGCGGGGATGGGTTTGTCTCAAGTAGGGTACTCCCAAATCCACTGGAGGAGGATCAGTTTCCGTATAAAAATGTGATGTTTGGCTGCCATATCATGTTTTCAGAGACCCGTATAGTGTCATACAAACCTCACTGGGGCCCCACCTTGCCACCGTTGATGATGTTGACGTTGATGGGAAAGTGCGCATAGACCAGGCGCATCTTGTACTCGAACTTCTTGGTCACGCCCTGTCAAGTTCAGTCACAGCGGGGCAGCACTGCACAGCAATGGCGAATGGGCTCCTGGGTGTGATGTTTGGCTTTACAAAAGGAAGCTTGCAGGGAGCAAAGTGGTACCTTTTCTGCTTTCCACTTTGAGGATGGGAAACATGTTGGCAATTCCCTTCCAACTTCGAAAAGGCCAAGTTGACATTTAGGCATGCTGTGGTCCTGAGATTGGGTAGCCCTTATTGAATATGTTTGGTCTACCCATTATGTTGCTTCTACCACCACTGATCTGCCAAACGCACGGGAGAGTTACCGGGAGCGTGATCTCCAACATCCACGATTTCAATGGTTTCAATGGCACCTTGATCCCCAGCAAACCTCCAACCAACACCCATCATGTTTGACATGGCGTGCTCGCCCTCACCATGGAAAATCTCCATGGTTTTTTGTCCCAACTGACAGCTGTTTTTATCCCAACCATCCAACTCCGCAAATCCTCAAACAAATTGGAGATGTGGCTGCAAACCTCAGTTTTGCAGTGCCACAAATTGTTCCCATTCAGTGCTGGGGAAAAAGGGTTTCCCAAGCCTGAAAAAACTCTGATCATCTCCCTCTGCCCGTAATTTGTGGGAGGGTTCCAACATGTCCCAACCATTTCGTTATCTGATTGCTGATCTGGATCATTTGTGTTGAAGCAGATAGAAAGAAAGAAAGAAAGAAAGACAGATAGATAGGTAGATAGATAGGTAGATAGATAGATAGGTAGATAGATAGGTAGATAGATAGATAGATAGACAGATAGACAGATAGACAGATAGATGGATAGATCGATATATTCATCGATAGATCGATAGATCGATCGATCGATAGATCAATAGATCGATCGATCGAGGGATAGATAGATAGGATAGATAGGATAGATAGGATAGATAGGATAGATAGGATAGATAGGATAGATAGGATAGATAGGATAGATAGGATAAATAGGATAGATAGGATAGATAGGATAGATAGGATAGATAGGATAGATGGGATAGATAGGATAGGATGCGATGAGATAGGATTAGATTAGATTAGATTAGATTAGATTCGATGGATAGATAGATAGATTAGATATGTAGACCAAAGCCGATATCTTTGTCAGTATAATATAATATAATATATATATATTATATATAATTATATATATATAATTATATATATATCAAAGCCCTAATTTCCCATCATGGGGTGCGGTTGTTGATTCTTTCATGCCTTGATCCCTTCTGTTCTACCCAGTTTCTGGGGCGGATGTGGGAAAGCCTCACTTGATGCCCAGTGACGGTGTTCAGCATGGAGCACTGCTTGCTCTTGGCGAAGTACATCCTTGCCACCACCTCCAGCTGCTGTCCAATTTCGCAGTGATGAAATCAACAAATATTGCCATGGACCGTATTTTAAAAAGAAATGGAAACAGTATATAGATTGAATCAGAATTCTATGGATGTATATGGTGTATCACCTCTAATTGCTGACTTGCAGACAAATACAAACAGCAAAACTACAGTCTCTCTGTGGTAGCTGACAACCCCACTATCTGGTTCTAGCTGGAAGGGTGAGTCATTCAGGGCTTCAAGGTGAATCCCAGTAAACTATTCTGATAAACTTGGAACTATTCTTGGAACAATTTGACCTACTGACCATCTTTTTATTTCACTTCCAAGGCCAAGGTCGCTATAATTCACCCAGATCGGGTATGGGTCGAAATTCTCGGCCAAAAAACTTGATGGTCTACTAAGAAAGCCCAACTTGGCCACACTGGGCACTGTGCACTGGCTCTAGATTTCTTGCCTTTGTCCCGCATCCCCAGTGCTTGGTTCCCCAACTAACCCAGCAGCTCAGGTCATAACTCTTCCCCTGCGCCTTCTTGCCGCCGTCGGACAAGAACAGTTCGATGGGCAGGTGCTTGAAATCGCGCTTCAGGCTTCCGTGCTTGCCGGTCACCTGGCAAAACACGAAAAGTCCTGGCCCAAGATGGGGATACTTTGATATGATTCACCAACCACGTCACGTTTTTTGGTAATTGACTCCACGGACCAAAAAAACGGAGAAGTTCATCAACGACGAAGTAAAACTCAATGTCTTGTGGTGGGTGTTGGCTTATTCCTATGGGCTGGTTCAATGAGATGCAAGCGACAGCAAGTGTTTCAACTACAAATGATGTTTGGTTGGGTAGTGTATCAAGTCTTTGCCCTTTCGAACAGTGCTGAAAGTTGGGACCTCAAAACAGAGCTAAACGATATAAGAACCTGGACAAAACACAACAGTTCAAAAGCCTCAAAAATATTGGATAATTTCCCTTGCCTTACTAAGCCCCACTTATGATGCGATCATTACAATGGACTCTACAATCAAAACAGCTAAATTTTCAGGGTCAATGCTAGCCAGGGCTCACACCCCGAAAGCCCAAGGACACCTCCACGATCTTGGACTTCACGGTGATCTTGCAGCCTTACTGATAATCATGAAACTAAGCATAATCATGATAATAAGCCATGACGATAATGATGATAACAAGAAGAAGGATGAGAATAAGAATATATATATATATATACATACATATAGGTATGTAGGTGTATGTACTATAGATATGTACATTACATGTACGTGTATATATATAATATATAGCAATTGCACCTCCACCGAAGCCTTCATGCCACCCCAGCCCCCTTTTCGTCCCATGTCTAATCACTCCGGCTGAGTCCCAAACCCTTTGGCACCTTGAGGGTTTCCTGATCAGCGGATCTTTTGGGTCTGTCCACAGTGAAAACAAAAAGCACACCATGGGCTTTGACCGATGGGGATATGGATGTCTGAAAATGGTGAATACCTCAAGGCCTCAAGAATGGCTATTTAGAAGGGAAAATGATGATAAACCGGAAAATTTAGCGGTACTATATGTTCAAACAAACCTTTATTGATATGACATGATGGCAATCAAACATAGCTGGGAAATTCGTATCGATAGATGAAGGTTTACAGATGGGAAATTCATCGAACTAAGTGGGAGATATGTCCATCGCCAAATTTGATTTCCGAAGTGTCCACAGGACCACAGGAAGATGGGTGAATGTGCATCACACAATTGGAAGTAGTGATGCTTAGTTGACGGTGTATACGCAATACGCGCCACTCCACGACATGATGTGGTCACCATTTTAAGGAGTGCCCAGGCTTCAAAGCTTTTCACTGATCACGGGCCTTGGATAAAGTGATATGATGAACCTCTCGCCCTGTCGTTTGAAGAGATATATCCCTACACAGAACCCCAATACCAGCCAGGAATATTGAGTTGCAATGTGCCGCAAGATGCAAGTTTGGAAGATATTCTTTAGATATTTAATCTTTAAAAAAAAATAACTGAAATCCAACATCTGAAACCCATTTTGATGTCCTCGGTGAGCAAAGTCCTCATGACCTCAGCTGCAGGATTCCAACTCTCCCGGGTGAAAAGGAGTAGCTACCACTGTTGTACAACTCCATGGGAAAACGATGATTTATGCGATTTTACCGTTGGAAAATGATCCGATTTTAAGAATAAAACCCTTGGGCAATCCTTGGGGAAAAGATGATGGGATTACTTTTCGAAGGGTGTCCAAATCCAGGGTTTCCGTAGCGATCTTCGTTGACCGTCCCTGGGTCTGACATTTCGACTCTTAGCCATACAGTAGCTGTAATGATGATGATAATTGGTAATGATATGTCATGATATATATAGATCCGGGTTAACATTTGGGGGGAGACCTTGTGCAGGCAATTTGTAGCTACAGACCAAGGGGGCACAGGGTCAGATGCTACAAAATGGAGTCCTGGGTACCAAAAATAGACCCTACAAAATGAATTACCAACCATGGATCATATCCAAAACGGATCACTACAAAATGTTTTCTCTTCTGATATCATAATTCTATAAAATTCGCATATCTTCAATCCATTTCATTGACAAAACATTTTGTAGTCTGATGCTTCTTCCCCCAACCAGACATAACATAATCACACACAAAACATTCTGTAGCACTCGCTTTTTTTGGGGAGCTGTCATTTTGTAGCGCAGTCACTTGTCACTTGGTCTTTTGCAAGCAAGTGCCTTTTTCATATTGTTTAAGACAAATCTGGCAAAGTTTCAATTCAACCATATTGTTGTCTTTGTTTTGACAACTCTTGTTGATATGATAACATCGGCCAGCGCGGCTCGCAAAAAGCTCCCCCGGCAGACTCAGCTTCACAATGGGTCTTCCTTGATCCTTTGAACATTGATTGCACGCCCACACCACCATTGCAGTTAGCAATGAACCCACAAGAGCGCCAACAAAGAAGGCCATCCAGAGAACATGGACAAAATCAATGTACTCCAGCATGGGATCGAAGCCTAGAACAACAAGACCGAGCCTTTAAGTACTTTGAGCATAAAACTGCTGGCTCCATTGAAAGTAATTGATCAAAATCCAAGACTGCTGACATAGATTTGGTTTTCAATTGCTTGGATTTCTCACAGCCCGAAAGCGAAACCAAAAAATCCCTACAAAAAGCCTGTCACACCTCCGATGACTACAAAATGGACCAACCATCATTAACCTCTTGGGCGCATTTGTTAACGCCCACAAGTCTCTGCCCTACCGCCAATGTTTGGCATGTGAACATATCCCAGCATAGATATTCTATGCTATTGATGCTGAGCACGCTTCTCTCATGCAGCGCTCATATAAAAACTCGTGATGCTGATTACATTGGTTTCTACATGGCATGGCAACAGGAAAATAAGCTACAAAATCCACATTAGTATACATGAATAAGCTACAAAATGGCATACACGAGCTGTAAACCCTACAAAATGACCATCCTGAGGACCAACATCAACCTTTGTGACAACATCTTGAACAGAAGGTGTCCAATTTGAAAATCTGATAGGTGTCCTGACATGTCCTGATGGTTCTGCGCATGCATTCTTTAATTAACAAATCTAAACTTTGGGCGTTCCTGGGCTTTGGCTGTCTTTTGTTTGTAGACACAGTCTGCAGACAAAGCCAAAGGGAAAATGCATGCACATAAGCAAATTAAGGTCTTGCTGCCAACCATTCTCGGTCACAACATCAGCATGAAACAAATAGGTTTCAATTTGTAAGCTATTATTATAAATGATTGAGTGTATGGGTAAATATCTTCAAACATTGTGAAAATTTTAGATGCACTCATGTTCAAACGTTGGCTGCAATCTAGAAATCAGACCCGCTCACCGTCGTGCCAGGCACAAATTTCCAAGGCACTGCTTCACCGTACACGTAGTGGACACATCCATAATCCACAAAGATCTCACTTCGAAGCATCAGCTGCTGACTGGGTCGCCGCGCAAGAGATGAAGTCCATGATGTCCTTCAAAAGTCGCAGCCATCCCTGCCGGCTTGGTGAATCTGCAGTGAGCCTTTGCCTGATGGCGTTGAGATGCCTGAAGACATTCTTTCCGTACGCTTCAGCAGATCGAGGGTGGCGGTACCTTGAAACATCCATAGCATCTGTGAGCTACAAAATGCAGATGACATCACTGGAAACTACAAAATGAAATGCGCACCGTATAAATGCATATAAATGCAATGCACTGTCACCATGTGTCAATATCAAAGATCCCGATCCAAATGCTACAAAATGAAGATCCATTGGTCTTTGCTACAAAATGTTGGTAACCAAGCTAGAATGTTGGTGACCACAGGAGCTAGCACGGACCCCAGGCAGGACACCACAAGTATAGCTACAAAATGCTTTTCCAGGTCTAAAAAAATCTTGAAGAAATGGTCTGAAAGGGGATACCCTTGGTTGGAGCCAAAATCTTCATTTTTTAATACCCCTATTTATTGAAAATGAACCGTTTTGAACAATGCATTTTTTTTGAGAAAATTATCAAAGAATAACTTGGGTTCTTCGAGGAACATGCTCTCAAAGGCTTTCCCTGAGTTCTCCTTGATCTGGTCCCAAGTAAACTTGTCAGCACCCTGAAATTTCATCCTGCAAGCGCCCTGCACCGTCCAGGCTGGTGAGTGAGGGAAAGCCTTGTTGTCAAGATCGTACAATTCCATCATCTGTTTCATGATGGCATCTCGACCTTGCTGAGTTCTTTTGAAAGTTGCCTCAGTGATTTCCGTCTCATCCTCATCTCCAAGTAATGGCTCTGGATCTTTGCTATTTTTGTCCTTCTTGTCCTTTTTGTCCTTCTTCGTCTTTTTCTTCACCTCTTTGGCTTTCTTGAATGTTGCCTTCGTCTTCTTCTTCGGCTTGTTGGTAAAAAGTTTTTCCCCAAATCCATTCTTCACGCCTACGGCCTTAGATCCCCTGGTCATTGTCGGTGGAACTTGCCATTTTTTCATCCCAGGAATTTTGCTCAGGATGGCTGCGCTTTCACTGGTCAAAACCACTTGGACGTCTTTTTCGGGATCATCTGGCCAATGACCTTGATTGAAAACAAGTTGGGCTTGACTCAAGCAGAGTACGCTCTTCCATCTTCAACATAAAAAAAGATAAAAAAAATGAAAAAAACAAAAAATAATCATGTTTCTGCTACAAACTGTACTTCACAACGGTCATAGCTACAAAATGCAACACAATCACTATGAGATATGGAAACCCCTGAGATCACCCCCCAGACAGGGAACATTACATCCAAATTGCATCCAAAAGGCATTCCTCCACATCGAGGATCGACACCAAGCTCTCCAGGCGTACCACCAGGGCATTGGATGTAGCGCTGCAAAACCATTCGGTTTCCTTTTCCTCAAACTGTCTCATAGTGTGTCTAAACAAAAAATGCAGACACATAATCATACAAACAAATTCAAACTATGGAGTAACAACATTTCCCAAGCACAGTGGAGCATCCGAATTTTCCTCCATGTCAAGCACCACGACGCGAAAAGCCACGCAGCTGCTCACGTTTGTGGAGCCGCTAAACAACTTCGGGGCCTTTATTCCTCTCCACACAGAAATGACCAAGCCCATTTCGACACCCTGCTGGGTGCAGCAGTTCGGCATCTGGAAGAGGACCACATTCCCTGGCCTCAAGTTTCCAACAAACAACGAATTGAAAACCACACAGGTGCTACAGAATGGATGGCAGCACCCCTAGAGCATCCTCCTTGCCATTCTATATAAATATATGTGTTTATGCGTGTGTAAACATGTATGTAAGTATATTGTTATTTATATATACATACATATATATATATATATTATAGGCAGCGGCCAGTATGTAAAACATATAATAGATTATAATAGCATACAATAGCTAGAAAATAAATGAAAATAACATAGTGGGATCCTAAAGCTACAAAATGGCATAGCATACCTCACATAGTCAAAGAAAGAATCCATCTGCTTTCAAGTTGCTGAATCCTCTCAGGGATGCCAGCCTGGAGCTCCAAGTCCAACTGGGCCTGTGTGACCAGTTCTTTCCACTTGGCAAGCCGTGTTGTACGTGATCTGTACTCTGTTGACTCCTTCTCCTTGTTCATCTGGGCAATCAACATCTCGTTGTACCTTGCAACACCAAGGGTCATATGAACTGTCCATCAACTTAGGGCACTTGACTCGGTGCTACAAAATGTATGTCCAACCCCACCCCCTCAAAAATAAAAACAACCATCAGCCCAAGCACTGGTGCCAGTTGAGCTTGGAAGAAGCACGCCTGACATGCCGCGCGTTTGGCACCCAACGCACATCGCACCCACCGCTGCTGGAACGCAAGCGGACTACAAAGCGGAACAAGCTGTTCCACACGTCCCCCTTTGAGGACATGGCCCCCAACAAGGTTGAAGGCATGTCTTCCTTGCCTTCATCTGCTTCTTCACCTTCTCCCGCTAAGAGATGCATCATGTCCTCCTTGTCTGCCATCCTCTCCAGCTCAGGATCTACCACCCCTGCACGATCAAGGACTGAATCATCTTCCTCTGGATCGACAAAGATGGTCTCTCTCTGCACAGTTTCAATGATGTCAAAGGCTGGGTCGTTGGAACCTTCATCCAAGTCCACGCCAGAACCTTGCTCCATGAATTCGTCCATGTCTACTTCAGCAAAGTCACCTTCCATGAACAGGTCCGATGTAGTATCACTGCAATGCTTCCTGTAAGCGTTTTCCAATGACTTCTCCAAGATCTCGGTCGTGAGAGCCACCAATTTCAATGCCCCTTCCAGAGCTCGAGCACAGCAAGACTGAAACCTTGGCTACAAAATGGCCAGGACAGACTATACAACTACAAAATGGAGACGCTGGAGAGGTAGATTCAAGGACGGACACACTTGGTGGATCTAGGTGGGACAAAACCTTGGCTACAAAATGGCTAGCACAGGCAACATTCTACAAAATGTAGTCGCTAAGTACCAAGCAGAGCAACTCCTGTTCTGTCAGACAAGGCTGCGGCTTGCGATCCATGACCTTCTCTTTGTTCAGAAGCCTGCCGTGCTTCATCTGTGTTCGAGCCATAGCCTTCCAAAATCCACGTGCCGAAAGTTGTGAATTTGGAGACTGTTTTCGTTGCAGTCCAAACCACTCCTCTATTGCGAGCTCCGAGAGCCGGAGTGTGCCAACCTGAAATGGATGCCACTGCTCGTCCTTCGATATGGTGATCAGCACTGCCGATAGTGCGCACCCCTGTAGGTTATAAACCGTTTGGGGGGCCATAAACATGCTTCCACGAGGCATGTTGTGCTTGTTGCAGCGCGTCTCTGACACCATCCGGAACAAATCCAGGGACAGAAATCCTGCCAAGCCGACTTCGCACCTATCCATCAGAGACAGATTGCGATGCATCAATGCGCTGCTGCACATGGCAACCTGCGCATAACAAAACACTTCCGCCAAGAAAATCTAGAAAGCCCAGTAGCATCCAATGCTACAAAAAGATCTGATCTACCAAATAGACCAAAATGCAAAAAGGTCAGTGGAGTCCAGGGACACAAAGATTGTGGAGAAGTGCACCACGAAGTGCCCATGGAGTCTTCATGTCTCTCAGAGGGCAGTCCTGGATTCTGGACTGAACATGAACATTCATGAACATAACATGAATAGCTGGTTCTTGAACATACATCAAGTGGAACACAAACACATATGCATTGTTATTGTAATGCATTGTGATTTCAACCAAGTAACAACTGATTCCACCAAATAGAATGGATTCATGAGAACTGCTTGGGCTTTGTCACTTTGCGGTGACTCGCGGCCAAGAACTCCCGGAGGAAGACCAAATTGTCTGCACATCGTCATGTCTGCCCAATAATCGCCATAGTAGCAAGTTCTGATGAAACTGCACAGCTGCCCTCCGCTGTTCTTCACAGCATGGCCTGAACAGAATTTTTGACTACATGTAGCACCACCAAATCAGGAAAAAATAGGAGGTTAGCTGTTTGCTGTTCTGAAATAGTCAGGCTATGTCAAACTGTGTTGCATTGTGTTGCAAAATGCCCGCTACAAAATGCTGCGACTATAATTTTTTACTACAAAATGACAGGTCAAGGTCTCTGTGCATCAGAGGGGCACACTCCAGGGATGCCATAGATGAACTCATCTCGGTGCAGGCAGAGCTGAGCAGGAAACCTGGGCAAGCAACTCTGTGGCACAGGTTGAAAAGTCAAGTCCTTCCAGAATTCCATCTTGGATAGATCATAGTCGCTGACACCAGAAAGTTGCCCATGAAGGACTCGTCGGATGACAGAATGGCTTCCATGGGCATCAAAAATGAGTGCTTTGATGCAAGTGCTCCCTTCTGCCATGATAGAGCCCAAGAGTTCCATCATAAACCAACATCCACGGACTGTGGACCCAGGGCCAGAAAAATTTGACTCAATCGGGATGCTGCAGATGGATAGGGGGATCTTGCGAACACCGGCTGGATCCCATGCCACCATCTCCAACATGGTAGGTGCTTTCACCACTTTGCTGATGTCCACATCTCCCTTATCCAGGCAAAGGAAGCTCTGGTCAACATCCGGTGGGCCCCAGACTCCACCAACCATACCTGATTCGTTGTTCAAGCAGAGCTGAGCCAGAGTCCGCGTAAGATAGGTGCAATCGAATGCAGCCACCAAACGACCTCAATCATGAGAGCCAATGAACATTGTGGTTAGCTATCTGGGATTTCCTGCAGCAAACCACTACAAAATGTCATTGAACAGCACTGTGGCTACAAAATGTTATATCATTCAAGTTCTAAAAAGTCATGAAGGCTGTTCCTTATAGAGACCGGGATCCCATTAGTATGGCCACAAAATTCTTGACTAGCCAGCCCCATCTATCCCAATATATTTCTAAGAAACTTAGTTGCAAACTTACAAAGAGAAAAGAATTACTCCCAGCGTAAAAACATTCCAGGAAATAAATGGAAATACCAAGTCAATCCAAGTCGCGTTTTGGTGCTCCATGTGGTCGGACAAAGCGTTGATCGAGTAGTTCAAAGTTTTCCAGCATCACTCCAGGCCACCGAATCGCCAGAGATGGCGTGGGGAGACTGTGGGATCTCAGCTCCTCGAGAGAGATCTTGAGCGCGGCAGAGCTCAAGCCGAACTCCCTGGCTAAGTTGGTGTTGCAGCAAGCCATCGCCAGCTGCTGGCCGGCGTCCGATATCAAGGACGACTCACGTTCTGTGCACTTGTTGCGCCTCCCGCACATTGTCCAAATGTTGCGATCTTGCTTGTTGATCATTCTTGGGCATTGCAAAGCTAGACCACAAACGAGAGGGTGTGATGTAAGTTCACCCTTGATAGCAGAGCATGCTATCCTGAGGCGGACTAAATCTTCTTCGCTGGCCATGCCCCCCTTCATGATCGCTGTAAAGCGTCCCACGATATCTTCGAGGTTCTTGGGGATTGAACTGACACAAACCCCAAGAGAGGGTTTCACAATGGTTGCGACGAAGAGCTTGTACCTGTCAGTCGCTGATGAGTCCGACATGCAGCTCTGCCGTACCCACTGCTGCAGCATTGGCGTCTCGAGCTTGATAATCTCCTGCATCTTCGCGTCGTTGTGCCTGACCAGCGCACTCTTCTTGATCTCATGCAGGATGTCCTTCACAGCCCCTTCACCCTGGTACATGCGGGCATTGAGAAGCTGTGCTGCCCAAAACTTCCGAGCAAACCGGACAGGCGCTCGAACCACCTCAAGACTCTGAAATGATATGAAATGGTCTGGTAGTTTGAAGCCCCTACATAAAGAAGGACGGACCAAATGATTGCTACAGAATGCAATGCTTAACCATATCAGAAGTCCTTCCAAGTTCTATGGTTGCTGAATGTTGTTGATGTCACTTTTATTGTCAATACTGTCACTGCATTTTGTAGTCAAGACAACTTCGCACTGCAATTTGTAGTACATGAAGGCCGTGAAGCCAAATGTGACAAATGTATTTATTGCTTCCCTTCACATATCAGGGGAGGAAAACAACAGTGAAAATCTCAATCCAGAACCAAGATTCACTGTGAGCTTCTCCAAGCTGAAGGCATGAAGCACAAACGTTGCGACCCGCTGCCTTGGATGCTGCGGTTGTCTCTTCGCATTCAGAAGATCGAATGTACCATGCGTTCTGGTTTCCATCTTGCCAATATTTGTGCTTGGCGTTGTCTTGGAAATTCGCAATGGATGCCCACAGTTGGAACTCATGCCTGTAGAGAAACAATTTCCCTGCAGTATCCTCGTCTTCAATGCATAGAGCTTCGCAATCCACCTTCTCCACACTCTTCTCTGTTCCCTCGAGCCTGTTGACGTTGTTGATATGCGTTGGAGTGTTTGTGTGCTGAGTCAGAAAATGCTTGACAGCCCACACTTTCCACTGGGTCAGGTCGCCCACTTTGCCAAGCGGCTGACATTTGGTGGGGCATGCTTTGCAGCGATATGGAATCTTCTTCCCGAAGGATCCAGGAGCCAATAGCTCAATCCATGGTGCATACTGCTGGACAAACTCCAGGCAAGCATTGTTTCCGTCTTGCAGCGGCTCCTGCTCGGCTTGATTCTTGCCATTCTTCTTCTGCTTCTTTCCCTTGTCCGATTCGATCTCCAGTTTCTCTACCTGCTCTTGCTCTTCGGGCTGGTTCTGTGGATCTTGGAGTACAGGCAGTGTCTCACCAGTCTTCGCAGCATTGATTGCACACTTGAGAACTTCTGGATCGAAGTTGTGAGTCTTGAGCAGCGCCAGGCAGGCTTTGCATGTGATCTCGTCTCCGGAAATCAGCTTCACTTGCATCGGCCGGAAGCCTTCATCAGAGCACACATTGACTTTCTTCATGGGCGCATGCCTGCACGGAAGTCTCAAATTCAGGCCCCAAACAAATGCTACAAAATGAAGGTCCATTGGTCTATGCTACAAAATGTTTGTAACCAAGATAGAAGGTTGGTGACCACAGGAGCTTACAGGGACCCCAGGCAGGACACCACAAGTATAGCTACAAAATGCTTTTCCAGGTCTAAAAAAATATCGAAAAAATGGTCTGAAAGGGGATACCCTTGGTTGGAGCCAAAATCTTCATTTTTTAATACCCCTATGTATTGAAAATGAACCGTTTTGAACAAGGCATTTTTTTGGAGAAAAGTATCAAACAATTGAGCCTGCTGTGCATCTTCTGGAATGCTGGCCATGTGACCCCGATGGAAGTCAAATACCTCTTCACCGCTTGCTGTTGCAGAAAAGATTCCGAAAGAGTCTTCTTCTGACATGTGCGCTTGTGGCCTCTGCGGGTGATTCCACCTTTGAAGTCATCCTGCCACAGGTTGCCCACATCAATGAACAGGCAAGTAACGCTTTGATTTTCAAAAATATATCCAAGAACATGAAGCAATTCAACACATGTCAATCAATCACTTCATTACCTGTATGGACATGACTTGAGAAGGGTTGAACAACATTGAAAACCATGGTTCACATGCTCTGGTCCTCGTCAGAAACGTGGCCAGCATCACGCAGAGCCAGGGAATTGTCTGGGTCATCATTCTTTGACTCGGAGTCACCCACCACAGCCTTCTCATCTTCCTTGTCGGTCTTCTTACCTGTTTTTTCTACAACTTTTCGTCTCTTCTTTGGTTTCAAAGTGGTGTCCATTTCTGCAGGTTGGCCAAAATCGGCTGGCCGACATTGAGCAATTCTCGAAGGCGCAGAGCCGCTCTTCTCTGGCGTCTCCAGCCCTCCCTCTGCCTGTGGCTTCGCATCTTCTGGCTTCTTGTTTCCATTGGCTGTTTTCGGAGTCACTGGAGCTGATGATTGATCTCCTTCTGGTGCAGGATCTGGTTTTCCTTCTGGTGCAGGAAGTGGCGGAAGTGGTTCTCCTTCTGGTGCAGGAAGTGGTTTTCCAGCTGGTGCAGGAAGTGGCGGAAGTTGTTCTCCTTCTGGTGCAGGAAGTGGTTTTCCAGCTGGTGCAGGAAGTGGTTTTCCTCCAGGATTCTTTTCGAGTGGTTGGCTCAGATTCGGCTTTGGAACAGGGATGTCGTCTTGTAACCCAAGAGCAAGGAACAAGCACTGCCATTGCAGGTCAGCCTTCTTCTGCAACCAAAGGTTGGCAACTTCCTGCACATGAGCTTGTTCAAAGATGCAGCTCTCATTTACCGAATCCATACTACAAAAAGAAATCTCAGTATGACGAGCTACAAAATGATATGAGTGGGTTCCACTTTATTCCAAAAAAACAAAATGTGAGTTTCAGGAGAAGTTGGAATATCTTCCTCGCTACAAACGATGTTGTATCCATTCGTAGCTACAAAAAGAAGTACATAACTTACATTGAAAGAACCAATCACCCAGTCCTGTCGTACACCTCTGATGCGCTCTGCAGTGCAAAGTTTGGTTTGAATGAAGCAGCCAGCTTCCAAGGCACATAGAGACCACAAGGCACAGTTTCCATCCGCAGGAACATCTGCAGGGAGGAGACCCATGCTGATCAACACCTCGAAGAAGGCCTTCTTGTTGACCCAGGATTCCAAGTGAATCTTCACGGATTCTGCGAACTCAGTGTCGGACTCCTCCTCCTGCATCTTCTTCATGCGGTTCTCACAGCTTGAGATTCGCCTGGAAAGTCTGTCCTGCCCAGGGAGTGGGGAAATGATGTTCCTTGAATGGCAAAACCAGTATAAACATGGGCCCAAACAATGTATATATACATATATATATATATACATGTATATATCATATATCTATATATAAATCATATATAAACAAATAGGGCCCCTATATAACCAACCTATCTATACCTATCTAGGATTATCTAGGTATATTGTTGGAAAAAAAACAAAGTCATTTTATTGTTGAACCCATCCTTGGTTTCCATCACAGCTACTCCCCACTCTTGCGCTAATTGCTCCTTTGTAAAGACAGGGAGATAGTGGTTGAGCTGTTGAAACTGGCCCCGCTGGAAGTCCGCCCGACAGCAAGCTAGAGTCCATGTGTCCGGGTTCGACATGTCAGGTGCATCTGGGAGCTCGAACGCTCTTGCTAATGGATGGCTTGCCACCAGGTCATTCACCACATCAAGCAAACTGCGGTGTACTGGATACCCTGCATGTTCATCATCGTAGAACAAAATGTACATGTGCTTCTTCCGCTCAAACGTAAGCAACGCCAAATCAGCAAGGCTCAAGTACGCAGAGGATGCGCCAATGTGCTGGGAATACTGCACCTCATTGTCACGCAAACATCCAAGGCACATCACAGGCACTACAAAATGGCAATTTCGACTAATATAGCTACAAATTGTTTGTCACTATCCTAGCAGGTTAGTCAGTAGAGGAGCTAGCACGGACCCCAGGCAGGACACCACAAGTATAGCTACAAAATGCTTTTCCAGGTCTAAAAAAATATCGAAAAAATGGTCTGAAAGGGGATACCCTTGGTTGGAGCCAAAATCTTCATTTTTTAATACCCCTACGTATTGAAAATGAACCGTTTTGAACAATGCATTTTTTTGGAGAATCTGGCGGCCCCAGAAAACATCCCAGGCACAATAAGTTGTTCGAGCACTGGATCTGAAGGATTCTTGCTGTTTGCGGGCTCCACCTGTGCAGGTATCGTGTCGCTCACGGGAAAGTTTTCCTTGACCCGCCCGGCCATTGAAACATACGGAATTCAATTTCTCTACACATGCATTGAAATATACGGATGGAACTGGTGTTTCACACCACTTCCGGGGCCCAATGGTCTTGCCCGCCCTCCACATATTTACAAATCCTTACCGTAATTTTCCTGTTAGTTAGCCAGCACCCCAGAAAGTCCCATACTCTGGCCTTCACCGATGGAACAGGTGCAACTTCGAAAGCTCCGGCGTCAGGTTGACTGTCCACGTATACAGCATCTCCACCAGCCTAAGATCCGATGATGACACACTCTTGGGCATCAACCTTGTCACACAAAAATTGCTACTGACAAACTTTCTGGGCCCATTGTAAGGCTCGACATCACTTGAAACTTCAAAATGCAATGCACACCGTATAAATGCAATGCATATCAATGCATTGTATATACAATGTGTCAACATGTGTCAACATCAAAGATCCCGATCCAAATGCTACAAGATGAAAAAGGATGTATTTCTCTTCAAAAATAACTTCGGTTCTTCGCGAAGGGCTCAGATTTTTTGCAATTTTCTCCTCGAAAATAATTTTTAGAGACCACCATGGAACTTTATAGTCCTACCTGTGCTACAAAATGCGTGGCCCTAGACGATCCAACTACAAAATGATTGGAATGGTTCCAAACTCCCTCTTTGGCCAGGGTACTGGAACATCAGCAGCACTCTGTGGCATGTCCACGTCTACGGCATCTCCAGCAGCCTAAGATATATGAAACTGCCATTCCTTGAAGGACAAAACCAGGATGAACATGGGTAAACCAGGTGATCTGCAATACCCCAAATACAGAGCAAATCAAAGCAATATATTTAAATCATATATATATATACATATAGATAGATAGAAATAGATATATTCACACACGCATGTATGCATATAATTGCATGTATATATATATATAGATAGATAGATATTGCCCTTCTATAACCAACGTATCTAGGTACATGTGTTGGCAAGAAGAAACAGGAATTTTATTGTTGCAACAATCTTTGATTTCCATCACAACTACTCTCCACTATTGCGCTGATTGATCCTTTGGAAAGACAGGGACATCGAGGTTCAGTTGTTGAAGCCAGCCCCGCCGGAAGTCCGCCCGACAAATTAACAGTTTGAAGCCCCTACAAAATGCGTGGCCCTAGACGATCCAACTACAAAATGATTGGAATGGTTCCAAACTCCCTCTTTGGCCAGGGTACTGGAACATCAGCAGCGCTCTGTGGCATGTCCACGTCTACGGCATCTCCAGCAGCCTAAGATATATGAAACTGCCATTCCTTGAAGGACAAAACCAGGATGAACATGGGTAAACCAGGTGATCTGCAATGCCCCAAATACAGAGCAAATCGAAGCAATATATAAATGATATATATATATATAGATATATATATAGATATAGGTAGATGTAGATATATTCACACACGCATGTATGCGTATAATTGCATGTGTATATATATATATAGATATAGATATTGCCCTTCTATAACCAACGTATCTAGGTACATTGTTGGCAAGAAGAAACGGGAATTTTAATGTTGCAACAATCTTTGATTTCCATCACAACTACTCTCCACTATTGCGCTGATCCTTTGGAAAGACAGGAACATAGAGGTTCAGTTGTTGAAGCCAGCCCCGCCGGAAGTCCGCCCGACAAATTAACAGTTTGAAGCCCCTACAAAATGCGTGGCCCTAGACCATCCAACTACAAAATGATTGGAATGGTTCCAAACTCCCTCTTTGGCCAGGGTACTGGAACATCAGCAGCACTCTGTGGCATGTCCACGTCTACGGCATCTCCAGCAGCCTAAGATATATGAAACTGCCATTCCTTGAAGGACAAAACAAGGATGAACATGGGTAAACCAGGTGATCTGCAATTCCCCAAGTACAAAGCAAATCAAAGCAATATATAAATCATATATATATATAGATAAATATAGATATATTCACACACGCATGTACGCATATAATTGCATATATATATATATAGATAGATAGATATTGCCCTTCTATAACCAACGTATCTAGGTACATTGTTGGCAAGAAGAAACGGGAATTTTAATGTTGCAACAATCTTTGATTTCCATCACAACTACTCTCCACTATTGCGCTGATTGATCCTTTGGAAAGACAGGG